AATTTTATAATTGTTGGGATTGTTACAACCATTATACATGCTTTGTTTCTCTCACCAGTTACATCTTCTTCTATTATTCCATCACACATCATATCTGCAATGCATATTCGAATTGGACAGTATTCGTTCACTTGTTGATCTACATACATAACTGTACACAAATGAAATGAAAGATGATGGATCTAGAGTCTCATCGATGAATCTAACTTGGCCCATCTGCTTCATTTCCTCTCTTATCGCTCAATCGAATTGATTCTTGGCTTTTTCAACTGATAGCATTTACTGTATATAATACAGTATCATCTTTAACACATTCATCCATCTATCACTTCCCCCATTTGTGTACGATTCGTAGTACATTATTAGATGCATACGCGAGCATCGTTTTTGCATATAAAGAATTCCGATGCTAACCATAAAATGGTCTCTCCACCATATTCAACTAATGAATTATTGAAAATTTGTACTTTTGTTTTTACTTGAAGAACATTAAAAGAATGGATCGACGGATAAACGGATAAAGCTTTACACTAAATACACTCGGTATTAATAATTATAATGTGTCTGTTTGAAACCTTTTTTTTTTTCTTAAAAAAAGGGATTGCTGCTGTCATTCTCGTATTGGCATAGTTTGGATGCAAGAGAACGTTTGAAAGAATGTATGTTCGGTGCGGACATAAACAATGATAGCCATAACGTTATACATTTATAGAATTATATTTTATCCGGAATCGTCTATTCTAACTACAGTCAATTATAAATACCCATTACAATTCTAGAGTTGGATAATTCCCACTAACATATTTTGGCAATTAAAGTTTTGTCCTTGTTACATAATCTATACTTTTTCTTTCTCTCTATCTCTATCTCTATCTCTCTATCTCTCTATCTCTCTTTCCTCCTTCCTTCTTTATACACCATTGTTACACTTATCTAATAACAGTTAGGCCATCCAGAAAATTCTCAAATAGCTTCGAAAATCTTGCCTTCTAAATTTAGAATGTTATTATAATGATTGACGACAAGGTTTGATGCAAGCGAAAATAGAGTTGTGCACAAAGAACAGGTATCAATTCCAAAGTTAAATTTGGAGTGTCTTTGTATGCAAACCGACTGTACAACTGCTGTTGCCGGTGCGGAGTAGTTAGCTTGATGGAACGCATTGCAGTGAATAACGCAAAATTGCATGTCGTTTTATCGTGAACCCAGATATTTATAGACATTGTTACATTGTGTCATATTTTATCCTACGATTGATATCGTTCTTTATTAGGTTCTTTACAGACTATCTTAAGAATGTTATGCACAAGGGGGTGCAAAAGTGTACTCAAGAAGGTACGCGTCATCGAGAGGATCCACAGGGTTCACTATCGAGCAAAATATTTTCCCCGTATGGATGCGTCAATAAATAAGGAAATATTTGAGTTTAATTATACGAGATTATATAGTAATAGGATTGAAAATTTATTATAATCTCACTTTATATATCACTTTATATATCACTTTATATTTTCAACTTGGCTTGACTACAATTAATAATATATACATCAAACTCAATTTTATCAAATATACAGTATTTTTTTACTTTCTTTTCCTTCCATAATCTATTTTCCCATCCCCACGCCTTGATCGTCAATCTTTAATTATCTTATCGGGTTCGTCTATTTTCCATACCCCACAACTATTGCAAGCCTATTATATCTATATTGATTGAAGGCATTGAAATGTTCCGAAATGGTAGCTAGTATTTGTATATTGAAAAACTTTGCTGATCAACTGACAGGGTTTTTGAATACCAAAAATCTATTCTACCCTTTTTGTCTCAGTGGTGTGTCTATATGCTATTGCGTGGTTTATGTCTTTTGTATGATTGAGTTGAATCAGACGTTATCTCGACCAATAGCGTATCGGCATTAACGCATGATATTCCTGTGTATCCTACTGTCATCAGATTGAGGTGTGACTCCTTATTTTTGAAGGGGAGGGTCTTTACAAACGTAAAAGTAAAGAAGTATTGAACCGGGAGAGAAAAAAAAAAGGTCATTTAAATTCGGGTGTCTGATCAAGTAAAGTTTTTTGATTGATACGAGTCTTACTATAGATATCTGGTAGAGTAATACTAAAACTTGTAATATGTAGCACATTGCGTAAACCTAAATGTCGTGTAATCTTGGTGTCTGGAGTGTAGTACACATAACAATAATTGTGTGATAAGTAAGTTCTTCACATATAAAGTAAATCCAATTGTAATAGTATTGGCAAGTAAAAAATTTTTAAAATGGGAAGAGAATGTTCTAACAAAAAGCAAACAGGGGATTGAGAATACATGTAATGTATGATTAACAGAATTAGTTCAAGTAATTGGTATATATTGGTGATATGATACTAATATATATATCTTGTATCATGTCACTTGTTATCCCCACTCTCGATGGAGAGTCGCTGGAAAGTCTGCTGATGGAGAGTCGGAAAGTCTGCTGATGCTGAGATTAAGTAACACTGGTAACACTAAAATATAAATGAGAGGTTTACGCAATAAGCATATATGTATGTCCGAGTGCATATATATAATTGTATAGCACCCTCTATAAAAGTTATCCTTCTTATATTGCGCGTGATTATAGAATGATGTATGTTTCATATGAGGATAATTCGATAGATATAAAACATCCAATCGGGATGATCCTCTAAATTAATATGTGTGATGTCAATCTCACAAAGTAAATGACAGAAACACAGTTATCGACGCAAATTGTTCATCTCGGTAACTTCTTATCGCTGTGATCATCCATGGTCAAATCTAACTAGGTAGTAGTTCGAAAGACGTAGAAGGCACGACCTGCATCAATGTATTAATTGTTCGCAAGCAACTAAAAAATATTTAATATTACTATAAGGAATTGTGCTACAGTCTTTCAGGCCACAGACCCGACCGACAGACAACAAATGATTGCTTTTTTCGAGAAACCGACATGGGGGATAGGCTATACAATTAACGAAAATTCTCGTCTGTTGCAGAATGACAACCTTTCTGCGTAATGATACCGTATTTTATCGTTTGGGTTTCATGTTGAGATTGACAAGAAAGAGTGAAACTTTATCTAAAAGCATTTTTTTTGTTATCGTTGCACCCACGTTTTAATCATATTAAGAAATATGGGCATGGGGTAATCCTTGGGTAACATCCAGCCAATCGCACAAAATTTCCCTTCTCTTTATTATTGCCCCCTCTCTTTCTCGTTCTAAATGCCAGGAGATTTAACACAAACGAGCATTATTTGAAAAAGGGTATACTATTACGTATATATTACCTGTTAGTAGCGGTCAAATGAAGATTTAAATAGAAAGCATTGTTGGAATAATTGACTTATATAATTGAAACATTCTCCGAAAAACTCCGCGGAAGTAAATATGCACTATTTTATTGTAGAGGTTAATTATAGCACAACATACACCACTGTGTTTCGAAGACAATAAAAAATTAATCAACGAGCACACACCCACATACACACATACAGACATGGACACACACACATACACACACAACATACAGACATGGACACATACAACATACACACATACAACATACAACATACACACATACAACATACAACATACACAATACAACATACAACATACAACATACACACATACACATACATCGGACATACATACATATAGACACACATTGAGATACTATATATATACATAACTATAATAAAAAGTTCAGAGGAATCAGTATTTCTTGTGCAATTGTCCTTATAAGTTTTCAAGGCATGTGTCTGTGATGTTTTTTGAAATAATGTTAACACTCAAACTCAAACTATAATCGAAACAATGATGCATTCCCAAGAAATTACCCGATAGTCGATATAATATCTACAATCTAATCTTGCGTTTACTTACCTTCTTATCTCTCTTCTCTCTTTTCACCCCCCCCTTCTTCCTGTAATTGCTTCGTAGCCTTGTCCAACTCTGTGTCACCGATTAGGCCGCCACCATCACATCTAGTCTTGCCCTAATATATTATCTTGCCCATAAACCCATTTTTGCAGATACGAGAGCACTAATATAGTCTTGTGAAAGTAAAGTTTCGGAAAGCATCGAGGTATGGCATTAATGAAAAATCGGTTATGTAGACTATTGTTAATGCACAAGCGGGGATTCCTGCTGTATGCTGCATTCGGGTTTGTGTACGGTGTGACTATTTTATACTATATTAATAATAACTAATGTGCGAATGAATCTTAGTAAAAATAGAAATATACCCACGATTAAATTATTATTATATTAATAAATTAAGGTATACCAAATTATACAATGCAATTGCATGGTATAATGCATCCCAATATAAATAAATACCCGTTAATTGTTTATTTCATTTTATTATATTATTTATTTATTTATACAATGTTACACAATTACATATTTCCTGCCAGCGATCCCTTTCACCGCTATTTATACTCTTTTTTCCCCCCACTCTGGAATCCAAAAACTAAGGTATTGCCAAGAAGAAACGCAATACTCAAAAATCCCCCCACCCCGTAATTATTCTCCCTCTCACCCATCGCTTGTTGTTTCCGGTAAACCTTCTTGTACGTGAAACTTCTTGGTATGTTTTGAATTTCTCTTGCCCAACATATGACATACGACTTCGGCGCAATATATACAAAAACGCACGAATGTTGTTTCCCAAATTCATTCTTCGCGAATGGTATTTGGTATGACATTACCTTGCATACAATTGTTTTGTCTGTTAAATATTGCATCCCAAGGGTGTTCGATTATCCTAGGAGAAAGTTGCCCGACATTTCCTAGTCTCCTAATCTGATACATACTCTGTATAATTGCTCACTTGTAGTCCACACTGAGACTCCCCCCTCCCCTCTCCTCCCCTCCTCTATCCAATTATCTTTGGGCGAGCCCGATATTCTGCGCCTCAGGAATACTATCCTATCGACCGTGTGATTACAGAGTCTCGTTGTTTCGGTGGTGTAAACATGTCCTCACAAAGTGCAATCGGTTCGGTAAGCCACGATTATATATCGAATTATTTGCCAACTTGCATCAATTACTTGATCTCTTATTCGCATATCATTCTACAATTCCACCTCCAATTAGCTGGTCTTTTTCACCAATGCTCTAAGTACCGCTTCAGCTTTTCACCAGGTTTTTACTCGCACCAACAGACGTCGTGCCTTGTCATTGAGTTCCGCTCCCCCCTCTCCTGCAATCTTTCCTGAAAAATTACCTCGCAGTCGCTTCAAATGGTTTAAAACAAAGAGGAAATACTCCAAATATACCCCTCCGCCAACTGCGGTCCACCCTCATGACGACGACATGTCATCAATATGCTCGGAATCTGAAATGTATTTGGAAAACCGAAGGACATTATCGGTGCCCGATTTGCCCAATTGGAATTCGCCAATGTCAACGTCACAGTCTACATTTGTTCACACGAGTCTTGACGAGACTTTGCAAGAAGAAGACGAAGAGGATTGGGATAAAATGATCGCTGCGGACGAGAAGAAGACAAACCTGTTCAGCAAAAGAAGACCTTCGTTGCCCCCTATACCCCTCTCATTTCCACCCACGAGGGGGAAGGCGGAGAAGAGGAAACATAATAGGTGCAAGTCTTTGCCGCAGATACCGATGCAGGATTTACCCAATAGTTTGTATCGGAAACGTAAGTAAACTAATTTAATTCTAATCCATGAAAACTACACAAGAGGAAGCGCTAACATATAAATTTTATATAATAGCATCACAGAGGGAGAGTTGGGATGCTTTTTACGTCATAGAAACACCAGAAATCCCCGTTCCTCAGGCTGTCGAAGAGTCTCAAATCTTTATCCGTATGGACATGTTTAACATACGCGACTTTGATTCTCAGATAAAAGGTAAAGATATTATCCATTGAATGATAGGCGTGTTGTTTAGCGGTATATAGCGGTATGTAATGGTCATATGTAATGGTCATATGTACTAACCTACTTGTATCCTTTTTTTTTTCGGTCCATCGTTAGCACTCGAGACTCTTCGTCAACAAAAGCGTACCCTGACCGAGTCCCTTCTGCCAACCTCCAGATGCCTTGGCAACCACCCTCTGCGTTCACATAGAAACACCGAGCCATGCCACGATACTCTTGAAGCCAAATATCAGAGTTATTGGGAAGAAGCCGAAGTCATACTCGATCTCAGTGCGCAAGACCAGACTCACATATTTGGCGGAGGTCGTCGCATTCACGTAGGCATCGAACGTACGCCATCAGAGCGACATTTTCACGTATTGAAAAATATTATCAAATCTGAATTGGGAGATGACGCGTCAAAGGTTATCCATCAGTCGAAAGTAACAGATGACTATATGGTGGAAGATATAATCAACGACGATGATTCCGACAAAGAGAATAGATTGTTGGAGAAGGTTAACGAAAAGAAAAGGCGGAGGGAACGATTGAGGATATCGGTGGATATGGTGCCGTGTCTGATTGGCCGTTTGAAAAAGCTGCGGGAAATCCTTTCTGAGAATATTAAAGAATTAACTGTGCTTGCTCAGGCAGAGGGCCGTGGAGTTGAATGCATGGGAACTGATGACAGGAATCTAATTGCCAGTTGAATGGACGGAGGCGATATTCGTTGATATTTGAGTATTCCTCGGCCTTTACTTTTTTCTTTTTTTTTTTTTATTTTACTCTGAAAATTTCTCTTTGGAGATCTTAGATATGGACAATACACAAAATGAAGGACATTCCTTTTAATAATAATAATAATAATGGAGGTGGGGGGGTACACTTTGGTATATAAAAAGAATAATTGCTTATATTATAAATATTGTCTTTTCTGTAAATTAATTAATTATTTTGTTAATATTTTTTCTCTCATTATATGAATTTTTTATACCTACTGATTTGCTCCCCTCCCTCCCCCCAATTCTGTCTCTGTCTCTTTCTCTCTCCATTCCTTGCTTTTCAATTTATCGATATATGTCGGAATTAAGTTTTGAGGAAAGCATTTAACAACATAATGTTGGATTTTTTCCTCAATTTTATTTTCTCTTTCTTTAACGTATATATGTTCGTAGATACCTCATTATGTTAAGTATTATCTCTCCATCAACCTCTTTTAATTTGTGAAAGCTTTAAATATTCTTTTTCGGTATCTCTTACGTCAAAAAACCACCCAAACCCCTAATTTCAAAATTTTAACTTTGGGAGTTTATTCTATCCCAAACGAAAAATCTCAAGTTGTTGAGACTAGTTGAAATGTTGGAAGCGCAGTCTACGCGTGGATTACATTTCCTCGTCGATGTATTTTATTGTATATTTTGGAATACTTTTCAAGGGGTTTTTTGTAATAAACTTGTATAAAAGTATCAACAAGATCTCAGACTCGTAAAAGCTGTGAGCGCCTTTTCATCTGTTCGCACATCCGGATCATTGTGACGCTGAATGACGTAGTGATGTCCTTTTAAGTAACAATTTAACAAGGAGACAATGAACAATACTCTCGTTTTAGCTAATCTGGTTTTACTTTTGTACTCAAAGCATATTTTGCAGCACTAAACCATAAATTCTTTCTACGGCGTATATTAATTTCACCTTTCTCTCTCATTGTACAAGTCTAGTTAATATGCTATTCTATTTATTCTCTAGTCAGTGTTGCTTGCATTATAATCTTACTTTTTGCACATCCGCATCGCCAGATGTGCAGAAAATTGGTAGCGCTGCAAAAGCTGGTTCCGCATATTATAGCTAAAGGAGTAACTTTTATTTTCATTGCGCTTGACTTTCTTGACCGGCGAGTGATGAGATGGAGACAAGAGATCGGATCGGAAACCCTGTCCCCGTTGTAGTGACGCGAGGTAAATCTGGAAAGCGGATCCGTGATAATACCTTGGTTGTGACAACGAAAAGAAAACGTTCGAATAGCGTGAAAAACTTTTGAATCGGATCACCGGAATGTCTAGCAATACAATAAAACAAGAAGCAAAAGATGTACGTGCCTCTTATTCGTAAACTATCTGTATGTTCCAATGAATCGGGGCATGGTTTGAATAGTCGATTTACTGGATCCATCGCGACTTTGAGAAAATATTGCGTTCACTATTATACTAGCTTCTAACATCTTGACCTTGCCTTTTAGATTCCGTGTTACTGTTGTGTCTGGGTTTGGGACCTGTCTCAGTCACTCGGTCCAGAACTCAGTTGTCTTGGTCCAGAATTGAGACAGGTCCCCCAACATTAGTCAGCTATGCATAATAATAGTGGCAATTGAGACAGCCTGTTGCTATTGTGACATGTCCAATAAATGATGTAGTAATTAGACATTGCTGAAATTAGATCAATCAGTAGTTCAAAAACTATAAAGCAACATAGATTTCAGCTTGTTCAAGTGTTCAATCATTTATATTATTCTTTTTATTCCTTTATTTTTTATTATAATAAGCAAGTAGCTCATTTACTATGATTGATATTCAATTTCCTGGATTATTTGATATAGATAGATGTTGAACCATTAATCCCTATATCAGAAAATAACAGTCACTACTTGTTCCATGGTTGTTTGGGTGGCAACTGTGATAATTTTACTTAAACACATTTGTTATAATTATAAATACATTTTACCCCAACTGGTAAACCATCAAATTAATCCCATGATAGAGAACTTAATACTCAAGGACAGATTAAAAGGATTAGTGTCTATGCATTAACACTGAGAGTTGTGAGTAGGAAAGCCTAGTTTAAAAAAAAATAACCATAGTGTATAATGCCAGCTCCATTTAAAAGTAATATAGTTCCTAACTGATTATGTCTTAGATTTAGAGATGTTAAAGAAGAATTTGATTCCAGAGCCTTTGCCAATGCTGTTGCTCCTATATCTCCTATTTTATTGTCATTAAAACTACTGATGTTAAAGAAGAATTTGATTCCAGTGCCTTTGCCAATGCTGTTGCTCCTGTAGCTCCCATATTGTTGTAATGTAGATTTAGAGATATTAAGAAGAATTTGATTCTAGAGTCTTTGCCAATGCTGTTGCTTCTAGAATTCCTATATCATTGTAATGTATATTTAGAGATAAAGAAGAATTTGATTCTAGAGTCTTTGCCAATGCTGTTGCTCCTATATATCCTATTTTATTGTGATATAAATCTACTGATGTTGTCAGCGGTTTTCTTCGCGAGGCGGCTGCGCTCCCTCACCGTGACAATAGAGCTCTGTAATGTCGATTGCTTAGTGATGAGGCCACCGACTTAGCCAACTTTATTATACTACTTAAGTATATCTTTAGAATTTTGTCCCTAATT